GCTGTGGCCACCACATCGCTGTCTGAAGGATCGCTCTTTCCTCCAGCAAAGCTGGACGGGAAAAAAAAAAAGAAAGAAAAAAAAGGCAGGACTCATAAAGTACTCCAATAAGTAAGATTTAAGACATAGCCTGCTTCTAATCTACCACTAACCTGACATCTCCTTTGTGCCTGCCCTTCAGAGTGCTGGACCGCAGGGTGAAGAGAAATGCAGGCTCCCCATCAAGAGAGCAGAGGGAGACCAGGACGGATGCCCATCTCTGATTTCGTTCTTTCCTCCCCTTCTGCAACTCGTAGAGCTTCAAGTTAGGGCCCAAGTGCTGTCGACATCTGTTTTCATTCCCGGGGGATAAGCAATCTCTCCAGGTATCTGACATGCACGTGGCAGCCTGATGAGTAGCTATGGTTTTGTGGAAACTGAGGCTAGGGAGTTGTGGTTTATTGTGCTTGTTTTCTAAAGTCCAGGGACTATGTGCTGACAAGCTGAGAGGTCTAACGAAGTCCTGTCCATGAGTTAAATGGCTTTGAAGAAGGCTACACTGAATCTTACTGGTGCGGCTAAAAGAAGGCAGGTGAAAGTCCCAAGGTTTTCTCCAGCGCTGAAGGCAGGTTATTTTGACTAAACAGTTCCAGTAAGTGCGCACAGGATCACACACTTGTTTGGTTTTTGTAGAGGCAGAATGGTGGTGGTTTAATAAAATGGCTTTGAATAGAGGGTTTTCAAACCGTGTCTGTCTCAGCTTATAATTGAAGCTACAAAAATATACTGGTGCTGAACTATAAACAGTCTCTGTGGATGGTCCATCCTTGTGGGTGCCTGTTCCACTTATTTCTGAGTGTCTCCTTCCTTTCTCGTGACTTGCTCCCTGCCATCCAGCACATGTGATCTCGGAAAAACCACAGAGATGAGAGTCTCTTAACAGCTGTAATGATCTTTTGGGGCAAGACCAAGTCAGAATCCGAGAACTTGCCAACATCCTATAAACGGAAACAAAACATACCGATATGATCGTAAATGTATTAGTCAATTAGTTGTGTTCATTAGCTAGTTAAACCAACTTGAAAGAAGTGAAAGATGAACTAAAATCTGCTCGTCTCTGCCAGCAGGGGAGGTGAGGGATCAGATAACATGGGTAAACAGGGCTGAAGATACCCTGGCTTAACCGAGATCAGAGGCTCACCCAAACCTACCTACAGTAATACTGGTCACTGTGCTCTCACAGTCATATCTCGGTGTTACGTTTCACTGTTGTTCAAAGCTGTTAAGACACAGAAACGTATTTTATATATTAGCTTCGAATACGGAGTTCACGTTTGGCTCAAGTTTCTCCCAAACTTGGGTTGAATACAGCTAGCTAGCTAGCTGTATTCATTTGTTAGCAGTGATGACGATATATATATATAAAATATGACATTGTCAATGTTCAGACGTCCTCATCGCCAACTAAACCCATGCAAAGAAGGCTTTTTGGGCGAGAAAATCTTCAGTGTCTTTAAAACGAGTAAGGAGCGCACGCAGGCTAACTGACCGAGCGATCAAAACAAAAACCAAACAGCTGAAGTAGCTCATACCCCAAAGCTAACACTCAGATTTGGCTTATGACAAAGCCCCAACGTGTTTCACGGTATGTCAGAAAACACACCAAGGTGCCAAGTATGACAGTAAAACGTCATTTTAACACAGAAAATGCTCACCTTGAAAGCTGAATCAGCAGCGGCTGGGCGGCTGCCAGCAGTCAATATGGCGCCGGCTAGCTTCACTCGCGTCAGTGTTGCCCTCACCACGTCGTGATGACGCCAAACTTATTGCACAGCATTCAAGCTTAGCCTGTTGTGCTTTCTTTATCCCCTCCCGAAGTTTGGTTTTAAGACACGACGTTTACGTTATTTAGTGATTAAATCACGTGGAAAGCACCAAATGATGTCAGTTTATGTAACAGGTTTTTAAAACCAGTCCTTCTCGTTTGGACTGTGTAGGCCCGCTTCCTTTACAGAGGAGACTAAAACAGGCGCTCTTTACAGTTTTTTGCCTATGGGCAGACTGCCTGGCAAGAATGAATGTGACTGGATGATTAAACTTAATTAATTCGTTTGAGTAGCAAAAATCAACAGCAAAATTCATTTTTCCATTAGGAGGCTCCAACAAACTGTTGAAACCCATGATGTCAGATTGATAGACTCCTCACTCCACCTGTTTAACCAGCCCCACCCTGAGCCGTTTCTTCATGTTTTAAGCAGCAGGTGATTCATATGAACTGGCATTTTAGCCTCGTCATTTGTTGGGTGTCATTGCTTTAATTTCTCTGACCTGTTTGCTGTAGTATCAGTTCCGTGACTTCACACAGAGAACTTTGTGATCCATACAAAGAAAGTTTAAGCTCATCTCCTCCCAGCGAGCATGGCCTCAGGTTGGACTGAAGAGGAAAGCTTTGCCTGTCCAGTATGTCTGGAAACCCTGAAGGATCCAGCCACTCTACCCTGCGGACACTCATACTGCTTGGCTTGTATTCAGAGCCACTGGGACAAGGGGGGCAGCAAAGGTCAGTATAGCTGCCCCCAGTGTAGGCAGGTGTTTAACCCTCGGCCCTCGCTGGCCAAGAGCACCCTGCTAGCAGAGGCTATGGAGAAGCTGAGGACCAACAGCCTGAAGCAGCACTCCTTCACAGCTCCTTCCCCCGGCCCACCATCCATGCCGGTCTATTTGGAGGTCCAGCCAGATACAATGCAACGAAAGGGCAGCGTGTACCCACAGCTTCCCTCTGTGGAACCCAAACCCTGTCACCAACACGGCCGACCCCTGGACCTGTTTTGCCATGACGACAGGGAGTGTGTGTGTGAGGTGTGTTGCCAGCATGGACACAGTGGACACCGTGTTGTCAAACCGAGAGACGAGAGAAAAGAAAGACAGGTGTGTAATTGTAATTATTTCAGGTGATATTTTCACTCTGCTTTTATTTTTGTTTATTTGTTTTTGGGTCTCTAAACAACTTTTAAAATTAAAGTAAAATGCTGGTAAAAGAAATACACCACTATAAATGCAGTTTCCAAGTGTAACTAAAACATTTCTTAAGCTAATCTTGAAGGACTTGAAAAACAAGTCTGAAGTGCGCCTTACTGATGTTATAGTGATTCCCAGCAAAACTATGTAACAATATCACAAATAGCCTGTACAGTCTCAAGTACAGTCATTACTGCCTCACAATGTATGTGTCCATGTGTTTGTGTATAGAAAGAGCTTGTTCAGATGCAAGCAGAGGTACAGAGGAGGCTCCAGGAGACGGATAGGAAGATTAAGGAACTCCCACATTTTGCACGTCAAGACAAGGCATGTAGAAAACCTTATTAATTCATGCCATCCTTGTTTACTTTGAAAAATATGAAATTGTGGTGACAATATGTCCTCATCTTGCTTGTCTACACTACCAGGCCTTGGTCCAGGCTCTAGAGAAGGAGAGCACAGATTTATTCATGGAGCTAGCCAAGAACGTGAATCTAACAGGCACCCAGGTCAGCGAGCTCCTCTCTACCCACGAGGCCTCTTTAGGCAGCCAGGCTGAGGGGCAGCTCAACAGACTGGAGCAGCAGGTTGCACAGCTCAACTGGAAGAGTGAAGAGCTGAGCAGACTGGCTGACATGCAGGACGATGTCTGTTTCTTGAAGGTAACGAGTGTGAAGCAGAGTGCACATATTTTAGTGCTAAACTAGATCTGTAGTCTCTGACTGTGGAATTTGTGGTATTTGTTCTCAAGAACTTCCTCCTCATGGAGCCGCTGGTTCAGACTGATGCCACAGTGATTGGGCAGGAGGAAACCATGGTGACGTCAGTCCGCTCAGTCATGAAAGAACTGCAGGAGTCAGTTCAGGATCTCTGCAAAGGCAGCCTGGAAAAAATCATCACAATAGGTCAGCTCTTCTCTTCTACTCTCTTCTCGTCTTTTCTCTTCTCTTAATAACATAAGGTCAAAATTTTCCTTTTGCAGTGAATAACCCCTTGGCTTTGACTACCAGTGGTCCGGAAGCAGCAGGCCCGCTACCAGCGGGACCAGTACCAACAGGCCCACTACCTGCAGACCCGCTACCAGCTCAGGTTCCTGCCCAAAGTACAGGTACGTTAAATACCAGTCCAATAAAAGCACAAATGAGCTTTATTTTGACTGTTAGCTTTTGACTGTGGAAAGGACACCTTTTTACATGTAAACCCTTTTCTTCTGTAGTGTATGAAATGAAAACAGACTCTCCACCCTTGCCACCTTTGCGACCTCAATGTAAAACATGCACACACACACACACACACACACACACACACACACAGAATATACTTTAATGTGGCATTTGAAAAACACTGAGTTCATATTTTACTCTTGTTTTTTTTTTTTTTTCACCTCAGGGCCTCTGCCTTCAAGGTCTGGTGGTTCTGCTTACATTCAAGGTAATGCTTGAAAGGGTTTCTCTAATGTTGGCTGTCATAGAGTTTAGATATGCTTTAGTTTAACTGTTCTGTTTGTTGCTTCTCTCTGTGAATGAAGCTTCAGCCCCACCTCCACCCTTGCCTGCTCCTCGACGTCAAGGTAAAAGCACAAACATTATCATTGACGATATCCACGTCAGGCAGTTACCCCGTCTTGTAGGAGATAAAAGCTGGCTGTGGACAGCTTTGCTCACCTGACCTTTCACAGATACCTCTTAGAGTATCTTGGGGTTAAATGTTACTTTTCCTTTTTACAATGGTGTATTTTTTTTCTGTCTTAACAGCTTCTGTATCATCAGTGGGATTTATGAAACCAGAACCAAAAACTCGAGATGAACTCATAAAATGTAAGTCTTTTGTACTCCAGAATACAGACCCCTTTATCGAAGCCTTTGTTTGTTCCAGTCTTAGGTAAAATGACAAATCCTCTTTCTTTAGTTCGTTTCGAACCCACTATGGACCCCAACACAGTGTATCGCCACGTTCTGCTGTCGGATGGCAATCGTAAGGCAACGATGCGGGCTGAGAACCTGAACCCACCAGACCATCCTGATCGATTCCAGTTCTGGAGACAGGTTCTCTGCAAAGAGCCGCTGGGAGGGAGCCCTTATTACTGGGAGGTGGAGTGGACTGGCCAGAAGGTGCTTGGATATGATTGTGTGTGTGTGTGTGTGTGTGTGTGTGTGTGTGTGTGTGTGTGTGTGTGTGTGTGTGTGTGTGTGTGTGTGTGTGTGTGTGTGTGTGTTTTCAACTGTAACTGTTTGAGTCGTAGAATTAGTTAACATGCTTTGTTTGCCCAGTCAGTGCTAAGTAATGGTTATGAAAGAACTCTAATGCCATAAAAGTCTTCAGACCTAAAAGCAAAATAGAAGTCTCACAATAGTAAGTCTGACTAAAGAAGGCTTAAATCAATATTCTATGTCCTACCATTCCTTTTAGGATAGGTTTTGGCTATAAAGCATTTTTAGTTTTATATATTTTAATTAAAATAAATGTTTTTGAGGATTAAAATCATGCAGCCAGCATTTGTCTACACAGGTAGTCTGGTAATAGAGGGAACTGCCCTTTGTGCTCCATTTTAATTGGCTAATGGAATCCATGTATACAGAAACTTCAAAGGAAACCAATCATTTCAATTACTTTCCGCCTGGAAAGTAATTCATTTTCTCACACAATGCACAGAGTTGCATCATAGTTTATGCCAAGTCATACTGTATTAGAGTACCAGAGAGGCCCTAAGGACAGAAGTGCTATAAATACAAAAATTACTGACATTTCTATTAGTCACGGCTGCGCTCGTTAAAAGACACAATCTGTTCAACATACATATTTGTCATATGTTATTTTTGTAGGTTATTTTTAAAAAAGAGCCACATGACCTCCAGTTCTGAAAACCTGTTTAATGCACTTGTGCATTAAACAGGCTCTTTTAATAACCAACAGGGGGCGACTCTTCTGATTGCAAAAGAAAAAGTAACATTGTATAAAAATCTATGAAAATTTGATCCTACTTTTGAATTTATTTATGACCTTGATAAATATATTCTTAGTCATCTTATGGTCTCAATTTGTAGTTTAAAGTTCTGTTGTTTCCCTTTTTGTTTTTTAAAGTGATTAGCAAACGACTCTTACATTTGTGCCCCTCACTGAATTTATTTTCCTCACTCCCATCATGCAGGTCACCATCGGAGTTTCCTACAAAGAGATAGAACGCAAGAGTAATGATGACAAGAGCCGTTTGGGCCACAATGAGCTGTCTTGGAGTCTGTACTGGTCTGGGAGCGGATTTTCCTTTTGGCACAATAACCAGGAAAAACTGCTGGGTGCACCAAAGGCCAAACGGATCGGCATCTACCTGGACCAGCATGCAGGGATTCTGGCCTTTTACAGCATCACCCAAAACCAGGCTACCCTCATCCACAGACACCAGCAGCAGTTCACTGGCCCTCTGTTCCCAGGATTCAGATTCTGGGCAAGAGTAGGTGCTACAGTAACCATTTGCCAATTAGACTGATGTGCACAAGAGTAATTATCTGATGTTTTTGATTAAAGATGTTTATCTGGCTGCAAGAATGTAACAGCTTAAGGTTTTTAAAAAGGATGTCAAGGATGCCTTCTTGCTCTGGAGAGAACTAGTTCAGTCAGTTCTTGTTTACATAATGATTTTGCACCAACCATGATTCGTGTAATATAAATTAATTTTAATATGTCTATGTAAGTAAATAAAAGATTAATAAACTTGCAACACATACCTCTGTGATCTGTTTTAGCATTTTTTTTTTTTTTAAATGAGTTGACTGACTGTATCTTATAGCGCATTGGGTCTATTTCTTCCTTCTTATGTGACCAAACACATAACCAATATAATGCTGATCTTCTCTATATCTCACTGACCTTTATGCCTAGAGCTTCCCCTCCATTCTGCACTTACAATATATTTAGTATTCCCATATTTATTTCGATCTTTCTCCACACACAGATACGATGAGCTGAAAAGTCCTGATTTGTGTTTGGTCTGTTTAGCCTTAACTCTGGTTCTTCCTTACTGACTTGTTACTTTTCCGAAGGAAACTCTTGTGTAAGTCTTTTCTCTCTCAGTGCAGATATTCAGAAAATATCTTGCTTTGCACTAGTTAGTAATCAAACACTATTCACAGGAGAACAAGGAAGAGCTCATTTTACATGTTTTGGCAACAGTTTGTTGCAACCCCGCCCTGATTGGAAAAAGTTGGACACGCTAAATAGATACAACAAATCCCAGCCTTCTAAGATAACAACATATGCTTTAGAATGGCACTGTTCTCATATATATAAATATACTACAGCATTATTGGTTAAACCTGGTGACGCTAGTGTTGCAATCATTAATATGACCACAAAAGTATATTCAGTGCAAAATGACTAAGCATGTACTTGTGGACACAAAGTAAAAACACTCACCTTTTTTGGCCCAGAGGAGAGGTGATACCTGACCTACAATGACAACAAAAGACCTGGGAGGTGCACATGTTGGCGTGCTGTTAGCAAGATTATCTGAGGTGAGACTAGATATGGTTAGAAAAAAGATGCAACTTTAGGAAACGCACCTGCTGTGAGGTAAATGTTTTGTTGAGTTCCATATCTCACTTCTTTGCCAGCTGTTATTTTAATCTGAATTTAGATACAGAAAATGATACAAATAATACTGCCTAAGGGAAGCATGTATAATATAAACAGAACTGGTCCTAGTGCAGAACCCTGTGGAACTCCATTATTAACCTTACTGTGAGCAGAAGGTTTCCTACTTACATGAACAAAGTGGATGGATGGATTGATTGACTGATTGATTGATTGACAGGATGAAGGTGACTGATCTGCAGGCTAACTGTTAGGTGGCAGTAGAATACAGAGAACATTTTCCCTGGTTTTCTGCTGTATGCTACTGACTGAATTAAGGAAAAATAAGCTGCTCTGGGATTTGTGGAAACTTAAACCTCACTGATAAACTTTAAATATCATCCACATTTATCTGAAGTAACAGTAGTGTAAATTGTTTTGTTTAAACCTGTGCAATTAACAGCAGAAAGCTGTAAATTGATTTAGTGGTTGATATTTATCAGTCATGATGGATGGATATCCTAAAAAGTATCAAAAAAACAAAGCAGAGGTCTTTCATTTTATCTGCTTTCTTCTCTCTTGTTTCATGCTAAAATTGCAAATATTCTCTTGAGACTTCAAGCAGAGATTAGGAACAGGATGAGTCTGCTTTTTAAACTATGCTGTCTCCAGCAACATCATTTGAGCCACTAAGTTGTACTTTGAGAGTCGAGCATGCAAATGGCCGCTAACTTCTTTAGTTTCTTATCTTTTTTGAACTTTTGGTTTGGTTTATTTAGCTGAGACTCACATAGTTGGAAACTGCTGCAAGTTGAACCAAGGTCAAGCTGCAGGAAGGACATTTTTTTGGATTTGCATTACTTTTTCTTTGGATTAAATTCCACGCAAACTACATTAGTCTGGATTCAAGTCAACAATCTCTTCCTGTGGAGTAGTACTTTTTTTGTGCATAAGAAAGTACAGTAGTTTTATTAATCTTAGATTCATCACAGGTCAAAGAAAGCCCAAGAAAGTCTGCAGGTGACACATGAAAAAGCATTAGGGCAGACAAGTAAAACCAATCTGCCAAAAGTAAGGGGAAAGTGAATCGTAAGTTACTGTAATGCACTAATACACATGATCATTATAAAGAAGAGCATTGAATTTTAAATACAGTGATTCCGATCTGGAGGTAGACTGTAATTTAATGGGTTGTTTACAGTTTAAATGAGTGTTTTCATACAACATTCAGCTGTTGTAAATACTAATGAGTAATTATAAGCTTTCATTTCAGCATAGAAAGCAATACCCCTGTTTGGTCAGTATAAAGCTATCAGAAGCAGATAATTAGCAGAGATTAACAGAAAGGCTTTAAACATGAGACACACTGTGGTTCCACTGTATTCCTACTTGTGTGCCTCAATACAGATTTCTACTGGGCATTAAGCAGGTACGCAGTGACCACTGGCCACCCAATCAGCTCGTACAGGTTCTGTGTTGAGTCACACGGGGCTTACACGTGTCTTAATTTTTCTGCTATCAAAATCTCCACATTGGCCCTCTTTACTGAATAGCCTGTTTTTCAGCAAAGAAAGCAAAAGATTTTTTTTATTTTGTCTATGGCTTGCATAGACCTCTTCAAACATAATTAAACATATTTCCCTCTGTTTCAGTCTTTCTACTAAGCAAATTACAGCCACACAGTCATGACAATGGTATCAATCATGTGATTCCAAAGCGACCAAGTATATAGTCCACAGCATATAATTATTTAAATAATTCAACAGCTTATAGTGGTGCAGCACTCTAATATTGATCCGCCCAAACAAATTGGTCTGGACTGAAATAGTTCATCAGCATAAGTAAGAATGAATGTCTTTTAGTTGTACTTTACCTATAAGGTTAATTAGAAAGTGATAGCATGCTAATATGGTAAGATGGTGTACATGATTAATGAAATGTTTGATCATAAATATGTTAGCATTGGCATTAGGATTTACCTCAAAGCATTGCTGTTTTCTACCTGACTCTAACAACATGCAGGTGAGCTTCCATGTAGGACTACTGGCAGTCAGAGGGTCGTGCTGATCTCAGCAGCAGCTTAATGAAATAAATCCTGCTTACAATCAGCACAGTTTATCCTTCCAAAAAGGCAGGTTTGTTGTTTGTTTTTAACTCAATCATGAACATGGAGAGTGCAAAAACAATGTTTAGTAATCTGACTAGAAAAAAAAATTGCTCATAGCAAAGATATGTGTGTAACATCAAACAAGGCACCCTGGAGCAGCACTCACACATAAGCTGTCTGTCAATGTGTGGATTTGAGAAAATGAGAGCCTCTAGTGATGAAAAAAAAACAGATTAATCTTGAGCTATAAAGTCACAGAGGGAAAGGGGATGAACAACAAAGAAAAAAGAGAGAGGAGGAGTCGTGTGAAAAGAGGTTACAAGGGAGGGGCTTTTAGAAAACTATATATCCATTACTTTCGTGTCATGATCAGTCAGTACAAACTTCCACCCTTCAGAAGCATCATCATTTGCCATATATCAGCATCAACATGAGAGGTGAGACTAGATGGACGCTGTATCTACATTGAAATAAGATTTTGGAGGAAGATTTTTTAATTGCAAAGAACATTAATGGATTTAGCTCAGGTTCAAAATATTCAGACTCTAGTAGGCAAAAAGGACTAAAGACTGCGTGTTAGAATTTTACATTTAGGAAACTAAACCATGTGAAAATGAAAAGTATATTAGAAGAATCTTTTACATTTTGGGATGTTGAATATCTCCAATTAAGCTCGTCAATTCCACAAATTGAAAAAAGGTAGAAAATAGTAGTGGTTTAGAGTCAGTTCAACATTTCAAAATAACAAAGATGTCTGATGCCCTTCTTTTTCTCCAGCAATTGTATTGCTGTGTCTTCTGCATGCAGCTTTCGGTCAGGACAACAAGTTTTCCTGGCTTGGACCTTTGGAGAATGTACCGCAGCAAGCCCCCGTTCAAAGCCAAGGTGAGAGGCTGTTAAATAAGAAGGTCTGCATTCATGTCTCAATATAGCTCTGCATGTTTTTACCTGAAAACCTACTCATTTGTGTGTGTATGCAGTGTGTGTTACTGACCAGGCGTCGTGTGGCTGCTGTCTAATGCAGAAACAAATAGGCAGGTTGGAGAAGTTCTTTAACATGAGCATTAACAAACTGAAGGACGAGCTCATGAGCTCCAAAATGATCCTCAACAATATGAGAGGTGAGTGACATCAAGTGGCCAATAAACTAAAAGTCGAAGCTGATAGATTTCTCATTTCGCTAAGCTATTTCTTCTCTGCATTTCCAGGAAGCCGCAGCGCCTTCTCCATCGCTCTAAACAACAACTCAGCCATGGTCTCCTATGGCCCCTTCTCCAGTGATAGCATAATTAAGTACAAACATGTCTTCATCAACTTGGGAGACGGCTACAATGTGGAGACTGGCATCTTCACCGTGCCCCGCTCCGGCGTCTACAGCCTCTCCGTCACGGTTTACAGCTCTGCTCGCGTAACCCTGAGCAACTGCGTCACTCTGCAGGTTAACGGCGAAAATGTGGCTGAAGCCATTGAAAGAAGTGGTCAGGACCTTGAAGACAGCACCAGTGTTGTCGTGGCTGTGCAGCTGAACGCCGGGGACCAGCTGTCTGCCAGGCTGCTCCAAGGATGCTCCTTAAGCGATGACATCAACCACTACAACACTTTCACTGGTTTTCTGCTTTATGCTTCTGATTAAGTTGGCATAGTGTGCTTTGTACCAACGTTTGCCTAATACAGCCAAAATGTAAGCCTGCTAGATGAAAATTTTCTATGGTGACATCAGTGACTTGTTTTGTTCTTTCTGAGATTGTATGTCATTATGCTGAAGAGATGTTTCTTAAACACTCTTATGTGGATTAACCCTTGAATTACTACAGCTGTATCTTTTTTTTAGATTGTTGAAGTGTCTTGGCTATAACTGTTATTGATTTTGATTTAGTTATAAATGTTATATTACTTGTCTGTGAAATCTGTCAAGCCTATAAAAATGATGAAATAAATCAGATCTTTAAAAAAACACAGTTGCCTTTGTTATAATTTTTGATCCATTCTGTAACAAATAAAGCAAAGTTGTAACGGTGGTACTAGCATAGTGTGCTGTTCACAATTTGAGTGGAAAATAGAGGATATATAATCATTATCTTCTTTGTGAAATAAAAAGATAAATTGAAATAAATGCTATTCCACACCAATGAAATTCCCAATAAGTCCTGTGATGGCCTAGCAACCAGCGCAGGGTGTAATCCAACTCTTGCCCAAATCAAATGATACTTGTGTACTGGCTTACTACTCCTCAAGTTGAGCAGTCAGAGAGTCTACGTATCATTCACTATATATATATATATATATATATATATATATATACACACACACACACACACACACACACAAACTGCACTTTTATTTTCGTACTTTGTGTCTAACATTTACACACACTCTAATAGATTCATCAAGGGTTACGTTGGGGGTATGTGTGTTTGCCCAAGGATGTCTTGGAGGACCAAGAACTGATCCAATTAGTAGACAACTCACTTGAGTCAACCCTCTATCTTAAATTTGATAGGATGGATGGATGCTTTCTAAATAACGGGCAGCATGGTGGCATGGTGATTAGCACTGCTACCTCACACCAAGAAGGTCCTGAGGTCAATTACACCACTTTTTGTTGGGAGTTTTCATGTTCTCCTCATGTTTGCGTGGGTCCTCTTGCTTCCTCCCACAGTCCGAAGCCATGCACTTAGTGGGGATAGGTTAATTGGAAAGTCTAAATTGCCCATAGGTATGAATGTGAGTGCAAATGGTTGTCTTTGTCTATGTGTTAGCCCTGCGACAGACTGGCGACCTGTCCAGGGTATCCAGGGACAGCTGGTCCGTACCAGCAACCCTGAAAAGGATAAGCGGAAGCGGATGGATGACTAAAGCAAGATTTAATCATGTCCTAAATTGCAACAAACAGTGCAGCATTAAAATATATTATTGGTGTATATAATTCTGAATACATTCTGTAGCTAATTAAGATGCTGTAACAATGTAACAAATCATGTGAAACTACGAGTACTGGCAGCTTCATTTGTCACCCTTTCATTTCACTCTAATCTACACAGATTATTTCCTAATGTAAAAATGATCACAGCACCACACTGTATAATATACACAGTATAAGCCTGCAGTGTAGAACGTTGCTCCAGTCTTCCTACTATATACATATATTCTCACGTTCAGTGAGAGACTGAGATTACCAAAAAGCACCACTGAATGACACAGGAAATCATTCCTACCTGCCATGTGTATAGAGCCCTTCTAACACATTTCTGTTGGACCAAAAATATGTCAACTTATCTATCACACTGAAAGCACAAGCATGTAAAATGACTGCTTTTGTAAAGGCAGGTTAGAACTGTGCATAGAAAAGTACACTAGACTATCAACCAGCACTTTACACCTTGTCTGCTAATGAGAACACACTGACACCTCTTTCCAGATGATAGATGACACCTCACCGGCATCCACAACAAAGCCTTAGAGTCAGGGTGTGTACCTGCTTCTGTGTGATTTTTAAAGCTGAGATCAAGTGGTGATGATACAGCTTTATCAGTTGCACAGGTAAAAAGGACAGGGAAAAAACCCAACAAGGGGCGTTGTCAAAGTTGGAAGGCAATAAGGGAGGAGCGCTGTGAAAAATATATATCCATGACTCTTGTTGAGATCATCAGTCTCTCTTACCTTTCATTCATTCATGAAGCTGCCATCATTTAGTGTCGGCATGAGAGGTGAGCCTACGTTTACACACAAAACAGGTATCTAGTAAGTAGCGCTTTCTCTTTCTTAATTGGTTTATCTCTTTCACATTTTTCTCCACAGCTCTTGTACTGCTGTGTCTGCTGAATGCAGCGTTTGCTCAAAACGAATATTCCTGGAACGGACCCGTCCGGATTGCTCCAGATCCCGACCCCAACGCAGGCAGTGGTGAGGAACTATGACTGCACAAAAAGTGTGTGCTCATATATTCTCTGTTGCAAGTGTGTTAATGTGTCTTTGTGTTCAGCATGCAGCACGGACAAATTCTCCTGTGGTTGCTGCCTGATGGTGCAAGAGGTGAACAGGCTGAAGACCTACTTTAACAAGAGCATGACTGAGCTGGAGAAGGACTTCCAAAAGACAAAAGAAAGTCTCAGGGTGGTTGAAGGTAAGTGATCAATTATAAAGGACATAACAGCAAAAGCAGATTTTTTTGCACTGCTAACACACCACCTCCCTTTTGCATTTCCAGCCAGCCGTGTTGCCTTCTCTTTCTCTCTATTCAGCGATGAGAATTTTAAGTGTTACGGCCCCTTCAGCGAAATGAACAAGGTCGTCATCTACAAAAATGCCTTCCTTAACTTGGGCGGAGCCTACAACATGAACACTGGCGTCTTCACCGTTCCTTTCTCAGGCGTCTACAGTCTCGCAGTCACCATCTTCAGTGACGCAGGGTCTCCCGGCAACATGCTGGCTGCCTGTGCCAATCTGCAGGTTAACAATAAAGTGATGGCAAGAGCCAAAGAGTTTAATACCAATGACCAAGAAGATAGCGCCACCATAGTTGTGGCCATGCACCTGAAAGTTGGAGACATGGTGACTGTTACCTTAAGCAGTGGCTGCTATCTCTGTGATGAAAGCTACTACAACACCTTCAGTGGCTTTCTGCTTTATGTTACTGAATAAGTTGGAGGATGGTTGGTTTTTATTGCAAGTTTTGCTCCACTTTTAAGGTTAGAGTCTGCTAGGTGAAATTTTCTGCATCAGTCTATTGTTTGGGGATTCTTTTGAGAAAGTCCTGGTTTTAAATTCATCGTGCTTTGATTCAGCTTGTACAATCTGAAAGCTTAAACCAAGAAACTATAAGAGTATCTTTGTTCTGAAAAAAACATATATTTTCTTGTTTCAGTAATGGCCTGTAATGTGTATATACAATCAGCAGCCATGCACCTTGTAAAATTACATGAACTGTAATCAAAAGGTTTGTTTTACCTGAACAATTGTGTGATTGTTTGGAAAATTAAACTATTGAAATACTGATGGTACTATGCTGTTTATTTTTTTAGGTATTGATGTTTTCCACAGACCAACTTTATATTGAACTATATTTAGTAACACACATATATCAATTAAATTAAAAAAAACTTTATTTACAATCTTGCTCACAGTGAGCATGAATATGAAGCCTTATTAAACCATATTACCACTCTGGTGACAGACATACATGACACATACAGTATCAATGAGATGAATGTCTTAACATTTAGTATATGGTGGATTTCAGTCCATTTTAATATACTTTATTTTATTTACCCAATAACATCAGTCAGATGCATCCAACTAATCTTTCATCCGGTACCACCTTAAACCTGATCTTATACCTGTCACCTGTTCAGGGGTTCAGAGAACGATGTTCGGGTGAAGGACTTTCACCATGTTTTTACATGTTAAATTGTACAAGTACATGCTGACCTGGGCACCTTATAGTCACTGAGTCGGCCATGGTTTGTATACCAAAGTGGTCTAGAGTCATCTGGTGATTCTTAAAGGGGGGCTTCAATTCTCACATCGGTAACAATAGTGAGACCCGAAGGCGGGTCTGTCATAAGACTTCTTTGCAAATAGTGATTTGTCCATAAAGGTGTCCATATCAACTGGTGGTAAGTTGGGGAAAGATGCTGGACACTATACAAACGTATAGTGAAGGTGCACTTGGAAAATCTGGCAGAGGCCCGGTCTGTGGGATCTTTAACACCGACCTGAGGCAGAACTTCAAAAGCAGGGACGCTGGGCATGTTGAGTCGAAATGAAATAGGTTGCACCGGAGCGGTTCGTAGCGTAGAGTGTAAAGCGACAGGAATGAGAATTAGCACTTCCCAGTTTCTTGAGCGCCTCCTGGGTGAAGTGCTCTGGGCATTTCCTACTGGAAAGAGGCCTTGGGGCAAACCTAAATCATGCTGAATAGATTATATCTGTCAAATGGCCTGGAAATGGCTCTTTGTTCCCCTGGATGAACTCAGGGAGGTGGCTGGGGAGAGAGAGGTTTGGGCTTCTCTGCTTAGGCTGCTGGTCCCACGACCAGGTTCTTGATAAGCACGACGGATGGATGATACCCGAGTTGAATCACAAAGACATTTAATAGACTGAATATCCACATTAGTTTTTGATAGCGTGATCAGCAGAAAAGTCATCAGTAGAATAGCCGTGACTCGTGATCAAAAGAGTTTTTAAAACTTGCTAAAAATTAGGCCAAAATGCGTCTTAAGTCTAAAACTGCCTCTAGCTAGATGTTAAGAAGTTAAATTTGCTGGGCAGTTTTTATACATTCTGTCACAATAAGTTGAATTATTAAATCTGAAAAATAAAAGAAATGAAAACTGTTCAAAGAATTAGTAGTATTTCATTATACTTTTCAAACAAACAGCAGTGGGACCTTTTTACTAGTTGTTTTACTCCAAAAGAAAGCAGTCTTTTTCTGGATGGGTTTCGTCATACTGAAATGAACTCGGGCACATTTTCACACCCGTATCAAACAATCTCTGGTTTGAAATCACATCTGAGGTTATAACACTGCATGCCAGTTTTGTCCCCAGGTGCTACATGAATTATCTCGAGGACAGGAAATCAGACATAAAACACCTGAGATACCCTGGCATTGAGAAGATCAGATAAGAAGAACATGAAACCATGCGATGAACCAGGTCAACTGATTTGAGACTCCGTACACACAAGTGATGAACAAAAGACAAATACACTCAACAAAAATATAAACGCAACACCTTTGTTTTTGCTCCCATTCCCCATGGGATGGACGTAGAGACCTAAAATTCATTCCAGATACACAATATAACCATCCCTCCCAAACAGTGGTCACAAATCAGTCCAAATGTGTGGTAGTGGGCACATCTGCTATATTGAGATAATCCATCCCACCTCACAGGTGTGCCACATCAGGATGCTGATCTGACATCATGAGTAGTGCACAGGTGTACCTCAGACTGCCCACAACAAAAGGCCACCCTGGAATGTGCAGTTTTGTCTCACAGCAAAATGCCACAGATGCCACAAGCAATGAGGGAGCGTGCAATTGGCATGCTGAGAGCAGGAATGTCAACCAGATCTGTCGCCCGTGCATTGAATGTTCATTTCTCAACCATAAGCCGTCTCCACAGGCGTTTCAGAGAATATGGCAGCACATCCAACCGGCCTCACAACCGCAGACCTCGTGTAACCACACCAGCCCAGGACCTCCACATCCAGCAGGTTCACCTCCAAGATCGTCTGAGACCAGCCACCCAGACAGCTGCTGGAACAATTGGTTTGCACAACCAAACAATTTCTGCACAAACTGTCAGAAACCGTCTCTGGGACGCTCAACTGCATGCCCGTCGTCCTCATCGGGGTCTTGACCTGACTCCAGCTCGTCGCCGTAACAGACTTGTGTGGGCAAATGCTCACATTCGATGGCGTCTGGCACGTTGGAGAGGTGTGCGCTTCACGGATGAATCATGGTTCACATTGTTCAGGGCAGACGGCAGCTGAGAATGTCCCAGTTCTTGCATGGCCAGCATGCTCACCGGACATGTCACCCATTGAGCATGTTCGGGATGTGCTTGACCGGCGTATACGACAGCGTGTACCAGTTCCCACGAATATCCAACAACCTCGCACAGCCATTGAAGTGGAGTGGAGCAACATTCCACAGGCCACAATTGACAATCTGATAGACTCCATGCGACGATGTGTTGCACTGCATGAGGCAAATGGTGGTCACACCAGATACTGACCGGTTCTGGGTCCCCAGACCCCCAATAGCGCAAAAAACTGCACATTCCAGGGTGGCCTTTTGTTGTGGGCAGTCTGAGGTACACCTGTGCACTACTCATGATGTCAGATCAGCATCCTGATGTGGCACACCTGTGAGGTGGGATGGATTATCTCAATATAGCAGATGTGCCCACTACCACACACTTGGACTGATTTGTGACCACTGTTTGGGAGGGATGGTTATATTGTGTATCTGGAATGAATTTTAGGTCTCTACGTCCATCCCATGGGGAATGGGAGCAGTAACAAAAGTGTTGCGTTTATATTTTTGTTGAGTGTATAATACATTTTTCCAGGAGTACGGACATTTTTAAATGTGGTTGTCAACACATGAAAAACCCTGTTATCAAATAGGGCCACGTCTTTTTGAACAAAACACCTGGTTTCAGGTTAATAACAAACAGTAGAGGTGAATGAGGATCTGCTGTACAGCAAACCCTTGTTAATGGGGCCAATATTTTAATTTTAAATGCTTAACTTTTATGCGTAAAAAAATATCCAACTATGATTTCAATATATACACTTTGGTACAATCACGTTATTTGTTAACTTCATGCTAAGGATGATGTTGTATTAAGCGCACACACAGATTTATCTATTTGCTTCCCCATATGATGGGGCAATTCATTTTTATAGCTAACAATGGGTTAACAATTGGGCCATTTACCATACAAAATCTTGTCAGGTAGTCACTAGTGGCCAGCTGGTTACATAGAAGTTTGGGTGTACAGAAGTCTAAGAAAATGCCTCCTAGAACCCTTTTTCAATAAACTCTCTGTAAATGATTTTATAGACACAGTCGCTAGTTTCAAGTCCTAGTGAATCAAAACTATTATTTATTTTAATAAATTGTGTTCAATTAGAGTAGCCGGGATATATCCTCAGTGCAGTCAGATCCACTGCTTATTCATCATGTCAAGTTTCGAACACTAAGATGGTGGTGGTGAAAATGCTTAGTTCAAGGTCTATTTATAGCCTAGAGGATCTTTTTTTTAATTGGAAATACAACATCGGCCTCAGCTGGTCATGCATGCTCTGCATCTTACTACTATTCAAAGGATCTATTAGTCTACAAAGGCTTTATATTGGACTGTGCAGTAAAAGGTTGGTTGTCAAGAAGGAGCTGAGTAAAGAGGTAAACTAGTGTGCCTACAGCCTCTCTAAAACATGGTGGAGGCACTGTCATGGTTTGTGGCTGCATCAGCCAGTGGCGCTGGAAATGCTGTCAAAATTGAAGTAATTATGAGTACAGAAGAGTACAGTCAGATTTTTAAACAATGCAATACCATCTGGAAAGCAACTAATTGGCAACAGCTTAATTCTTCAGCACCACAATAACCCTACTCACATTGGCAATGCAGTAAAAGAATACTTGGATAACAGACAAAGAGTGGATTGATCTCTCCAGGGCCTGGAACTCAGCATTATTGAAGCAATGTGGGATCATCTTGACAGAGAACCGAATGAAAAGAAGCCAAGATCTAAAGGTTTGAATTTTCCTTCAAGACGTCTGGAGAACTTTTCCTGAAGACTGCTTAAAGAAATTATGAGAACGATTGAGTAGGTGGTCAAACCAAATATTCATTTTCAAGCTCAATACTTTGTAAAAACTCAGATTTGCCTTATATACACTGTACTACCACTTATGTTTGTATATTTCTATAAATAATGGTGGTTGGTTAAAAAATATGATTTTCTGCACCAAATGTTTTTGGTGCAGTTCATTCATTTATTTTCCAAGTATTTCACTTGAAACAACTTCACCATTCTACCACATGGAGAGCAGAGTTTAACCTCTGTAAAGCAAAATTTCATACTCAAACGATCAAAGTTTCTAAGTGAGATAACAAATGAAGTGTCTATGTTATCAATCTACTCCCAAATAATGGCAATCGTGATTTCTTATCTACACATAGACATATCTAGGCACATATTATAGGCCTCAACAGAATGCAATATCTTATGACGATTGTGCAGTCAGCTAACATATTCTTGCACAACAAAAGACTTTATTAGGCCAATTCTCTGAACCAGGTTAAAGTGTTTCCCACTTTTTTTATTTTTATTTTATCTCATATCAATGATAAACTGGGCTACTACCACTATCTGAGTTTCCAACAATACTTAAAGAGAAAGCAATCGTGGGAAAGCAATACTGTATATTGTTTTTGTTAAATCAGATAAAACTCAGCT